GACCGACTGTCGACATGAAAAGAAGTCATGTGTACATATCGTTGTTTGAGAGCCCGAGCCCTTGCTAGTGATTCAGCGGAGACACGGCGAGACACGGCGTGAAACCAGTTTTCAACTGTTGAGCAAGCTGTGAGTCAAGGTCGAACGTAATCGGTAACTAGCTCTCGGGACTTTACAAACTGATCTAGCTCTTGCGAGCATGGATCTGAGTGCGTTCCGCAACCGGGTCCCACTGAGGTCTAGTGTGTGATCCCCACGGGGCGCGTTGAGCATAGAGCATAGACCCTTAACAGGGAAGCGTCAGTGATCACTTGTCTTGCGTGACTCCTCCCTGATTAGTGAGATTGCTGAAAGCTGAGTGCCGCCAACGGGTGCGGATATTTGTTTGAACTTTCTTATTTTGTTGTTTGTGCTTCGTTGCGCCGTAGTTTGGACCTTGAAGTGCAGATTTCATGGCAGGCGCAGTACTGTGCGGTCTTTGAAGCGCAGCTTTCGTAGCAGGCGCAGTACTTTGCGGGCCTTGAAGTGCAAATTTCGTGGCAAGCGCAGTACTTTGTGGACCTCGAAGTGTAGTTTTCGTCGTAGGCGCAGTACTTTGTGGACCTTGAAGTGCTGATTTAGTGGTAGGTGCAGTACTTTGTGGACCTTGAAGTGCAAATTTCGTGGCAGGTGCAGCACTTTGTGAAGTGGAGATAGAGATAGATAGATAGATTAGATTAGATTAGGTTGGATTGGATTGGATTAGATAAGATAAGAATAGATAGATAGATAGATAGGTAGATAGATCGATAGACAGATATGTAGACAAATGGATAGAACAGCGTGGAAAGACGCTACGCTAAAAGCTGGGTGGGGTTGAAGTGTAGGGTTTTGCAGGTCATGTGTCATTAGAGCGAAGAAACATGCACAGCTTTCTTGATGTCTTGTGAAAGCTCATGCATTACACCTGGGCTATGTACCGCAGCCCTTTGCTTGCGCGAGAAACAAGAGCTTTTTGCTGTGTAGGTTATGAGCCCAAGGGTGCGCTAGGCACTTTTGGGTATCGCAGAGGGCCTCATGAGCGAGGAAGCATCGGAGAGAACTCCGGAATGTGGTGGCCTCAAAGCCATTGAGGATGCAGGCCCCAGTGACGGGTTGATGCGACCTAGTGGGCCTCCTGTGGTGCTAGGACCAGCTGCGGTGAATCCATTCTGGTCCGAAAGGTTCCAAGATGAAGCTGTTTTGCGGGCTCTACGTCCAGCTGACTTGCCAGTAGAGCCACCTGAGTTGCTCCCTGATTCTGCCTTGTCGCCGCCGAAGGAAGGGGTGGAGGCATTTCGTACGTTCTTGCGCCTGATGTCGGAAAATGCAAGACTCTGGACCGAGCGTGAATCTTGGGCAGCTGGACAAGGAAACCGTGGGTGGGGCAATCCATCACTGGCTTTCAATCATCCACCTCCGTGGGTGTATGGCATGATGTCAGAAGGTCAACAAAGAGAGAAGAACATGATGGATCCACTGCTTGAAGCATTGCGGTCTTCGTGGGTGTCTTCAGGGCATGGTGGGCAAAAAGGCTCTGGCGGAGATTGTGGAGGGCGGGGTGCTGTTCATGGTCTTTCAGGCGATCAGGGAGGTCTTCATGGGCACTTTGGGGGACCGCGCGCAAGTCTCATGGAAGTGTTCAATCGTGTCTCGGCGACTTCAGGAGATGTCATGCAGGGCATGGTGGAAGCTTCGAAGACTTTGGCAAGGCATGGTTTCGGGGGTCAATGGCCTGAACAGCCATCGCTATCGGAGCTCCAGGGTGGCACAGTTGGAGGGCAACCTGGTGCAGGACAAGGTCTTTCCAGTCAACCTGATCAGCCAGATCAGTCTCGGGGGCCAAGTTCTTCGGTTCCTCAACATTCGAGCTGCAATGGACGTGGAGGTCAACATCCTGCGGTGGTGGTCGTCATGGAGGTGGCCATCGATCGTGGTCTCTCGTCAGTGGGTGCACTGGGGAGTGGTCTGGGTGGCAGCTGTTCAGGGGGTTTGCTGGTGGTGGAGGAGGACCACCTCCTGGGGGTTTTCCAGCTGGAGGAGGGAGGACTGGGTGGAGGCTCCGGGTGGAGGACCGGGAGGAGGCTTTTCTGGAGGTGCTCCAGCCGGTGGCTTTCCTGGCGCTCCAGGTGGTGGCCCAGGTGCTCCAGGTGGAGGAAATCCCCACGGGCCATCCCACCGTGGTTGGGAGGGCTCATGGCCCAACAGGAAACAGTCAGGGCAGTTGAACTAGGAGCTTTCGGAATCAGAGATCGGTCCATTGATCGCTGGAGATTGGTTGACAACCATCGGCCCTTTCCTCAGGATATTTGCGCCCGTTCTTCACTTTGGTGGGATGAGGTCTTGAATGCGGCGGGTGCCCTCTACCGGGTTTGGCTGAATTCTGAACCTATGGAACGGCTTCGTTTGGTTCCGGTCACACCTCCAGCCTTTCAGAGGCCACCACGGTTGAGAATAGAGCAACGAGGTTCAGTCGCTCTGCTGAAGGCGATTCCTGAGTCCCTGAGATCGGAGTTGGTGTCACAGAGAGAAGTGGGCTCGGTCAGCAGCATTGTCTTCAAGGTGCTGAGAGTATACCAGCCTGGAGGTCTTGGAAAGCGAACAACGTTGGCTGAAGCAGTTGGTGGATCAGAAGGTGCTGGATGAGTGGCTTTCATCACTTCGGGCATGGAGGAGGTGGCAAAGCAATCGACACAAGTGACCTTTCGCTTGCAGGTCACCAGAGCAGCACTGCGGGTTGATGCGGCGCCGACTGAGAATGGCATTCAGTAGTTCGCTGAGTCCCTGATGGCAGAAGGAGAAGCGGCTTTCCATGGAGGATCAATGGCCCCCATCAAGGACACCGTAAAGGTCAAGGCCTTGGATGGAGACAATGGTGGAACCAAAGATGAGGGCAAGCCGCGAGATGGCCGGGACAAGATCAAGGAGAATGGGGAAGGTTGAAATCCCCGGAAGCAGGTACACTCTATTAGCACTGTTTGAATTGAATTTGCACCCAGATCATATCTGGGAAATTAGCCAAAATACACCTTTGGATGATCACCTCTACGTTCCAGAAGGGGCATTTGCCACAACACACCTGGCTTTGACAAGCTAGCAGCGCGAAACTGTTCAGCAGTTCACTGCAAACGCCAAAGAGAAACATTTCTTCAAAATGTCTTGGGCTGGAAAACTGTTGTTGCTGGGAAAGTGCAACTGCATTGTTGTGCTAAGTTGCCCAACAAAGGCAAATAGTGGAAAGAACGGCTAAGTTTTCAAACACTACTCTACAAACTAATGTAGATTGCGCTTATGACCTATGACTAGGGCCAGGATGACTAGGGTTGAGGCTAGCGGCTAGTCACCAGTGACTGGGAGCCTAGTGCCTAGTGACTAGGAGCCTAGTGGCTAGGCCCTGTCACCTTCTAAGCCTCTAAGCCTTACCAAGGCTCCATGGCCCCAAGGTCGGCTGGGGCTGGGTTTGCTGTGCTCCAGACAGGCAGACAGAATCGGATCTGGCTAAGGCGGTTACGGTTAAGCAGCTAGCGGCAGCAGGCTAGCGGTCGGCAGCGGCTAGCGGGTGGCGGCTAGCGGCTACGGCTACCGGCTACGGCCAAGCTAAGCGCGGTCAAGGCGGCTAACGGCTAAGGATGGGCGGCTAGGCAACGGCTAGGCTAAGGCAGGCTGTGGGTTGGCCAGAGGCGGGGCCATGATGCAAGAAATGCGGGCCCCGAATCGGCGCCCATCTGGGCCTCTGGGCGGGGGCCAGCATTGTCAACAATGGTCTTCGCAATTTTGGTCTTTCCGAGGGACTTGCCCCCAATGACAAGGTACAAACCAGACCTTCCCATAGCCTGACCAAGTTGCGTGACATCTTGAACTGTATCACAATTTAGTTAAGCTGAAGTCAAAGAAAGTGACAAGGGTTCAGGGATGTCAACACCAAACAACCACCACAACCTACAGAGTGGGAGGTGTTCAGAGAGGTATCCTATGGTGTGGAGAACCCTAGCACGGGATGGAACACGACGGGGAGTCCCAGAGGGATTGGTCTCCGTTGTGTTGGAGAGGTGTGTGGTGTGGCCGAAAGGGGGGCTCGGTACGGCAACCCGAAAGGAACACACAACACGAATGCGAATGCGCGAAATGCAACGAGCGAGTGCGGATGCAGGCGACCGACGAGCGAGCGACGTGCACCCTGAAACGCGCAGCGGACGCACGTTTCTTGAGCCAAATGTGTCGGTACGACACGGAGTCTTGTCCTGTACATGTTGTCCATAAGGCATGACAAGTTAGGGGTTACATCTGTGTGTAAAACTTTGACTCCCCCCTCGCCGTTTTGGCGTGCCCCAGGACATTATGTACATGCATTAATTACCGCGCAGGATGCAGCGGCTTTGTCCTCTACCCTAGACCCTCACGAAAAGCTTCGGTCCCTGGAGGACGGCTGTGGCTCGCGGATATCGGTTCGAATGCCCAAAAGGCATAAGGCCTTATACCACTTTTGTGGTGGTAGAGCCTTTGTGAAGATGTCCGCGGCTTGCTCGTTGGTGTCTATGTATTGGACTGTGATACATGGGTCATCGAGGCACTCTTTTAAGGAGGATAGGTCCTGTGATTCCGAAAAAAACACTGAACACCAAAACGCACACAAGGTCTTTAGCAACCTGAGAAGAACAAGAGGAGATATTCAACTCTCAAGGCATTTGATGTTGGGGTGGGAGATCGTTCGAACTTGTCAGGCAAAAACGCTTGATGAGGGAACAACCGGAATGAAAAAGAATACCATGGCTTCTTGCGTTCTGAATGGAACAAATCTATTCCCTACTTCTTTTGAACGCAAGCTGAAGTTGGCATGAATGGCAGGACATGGAAGGCCTATGGCATTCTTCCCAAGCATGGCCGAAAAATAATACAGTACTGGTTCTGAACAAACTGCCTTTAACACAAAGCAAGTGGGAGAAGTAATGAAACACCACCCTACCTTTATTGACATGGCAGTCCTTCTGGAGTTGCCTGACCCAGACTGCTGAATTCGCTGTGCTTCTGCCACCTTGAACGGGTGAGGTCTAAGGTGGAACATACTACTGCGCACCTTCAATAGTCTCAATCCCCCCCTACAATTACAAACTCAGACGGTACTTCAAGAATACAAATCTCAACAAATGGGCAAACCAAAGCAATGTGAATGCTTCAGTCGTCTGCCTTGTCCCTGTTGTGGTGCTTCTGGTCTTCGACCTGTCTTCAAATACTCCTTGATGTCCACCGGTTTCCACCCGCCAACTTCATCAGGCACTTGGGTCATGTTCAGAACCCTCTCCGCATTTTCAGTCAACGTCTTCACAGCCTTCAAGTACTCCTCTGCCTCTCCTTTTGACCATCTGTAAGAAGGTGCCTTTTGCTGCTCTAGGACACGGGTGCGTGCTCCGTTGAGATTGGCTACCTTGTTAGCAGCTTCCTCACTTTGTGTGACGGCAATCAGGTGGTGGTCACATTCATGAGCAGCTCTGGTGAGAGCCATGAGGTTTGTCTCTTGTCCGCTCAGTCCGGTATCAAAGGTGTTGTCAAAGACCATCTGTAAACGAATGCCGTGCTGTTTCAGGATACGAAACAGCTCCCCAGCCACATCCACAGCAGCTGCAACATCTTCAACGCGGAAGAAGCCCTTGAGGTTCTGTTGGAAATCTCGCTGTAGGAACACCGTAACTGCAGACTTCTGTGTCAATTCCGAAGTGCCAGTGCTGCGGCGACAGACTTGCCGACCCCCGGCTCGGCATGCACAGCAGAGAGACCACCTGTTCGGTTTTCGTTCAACACTGTTATCATCAACCGCTGGAAGCCAGTACCTTCGACTGGCTGTTCAGGTAGTTCTACTACTTGCGGGATGATGGTTTGCTGTGACCGCATCACGTTCAGCAATCTCTCGGCATGATCTTTGACTTTTGTGGCTGGCGACAGCCTTGCCAGCAGTGGGACTTCGGCAAATTGTGTCTCAAACCATGCCATCCGCTTACCCACGAAATCAAAAATGCTCATTGCAGATGACACAGAACCCAACGCTGCGGCTGCGGCTGGGTCAACCGCATGGACCCCCACGCTCGTTGGCTGTGCTTTCTCGCTGTCATTTTGGCGGTCCAAGAGCCAACAAAACCGCAGAGCTCTAGGCTCACATGGGTCAAGAACGCCAGAAGCACCATCCTCCGACATCTGCGCGCCATGATGCTCGATGGACAAGGTGTTTTGCTAGTTTGAGGTCATCTTGCGTCTTTCAGAGGTTCACCGTTCCCACTATGCTGCTGTAGCGGGGTTGACTTGCAAGGTGGTTCAGTTCACATACTTCGAAGGTAGCACAAGAAACATGCAAAGAGGAATGAAAGAAAACTTTCGTCAAACTTGTTCCCTACACATGAAGGCCTTACTAGTAGTAACAAGTGCCACGCTAGTAGTAACAGGCGCCACGCTAGTAGTAACAATGTTCCTTTTTTCCATTTTTTCAACCGTTACTACTAGCGTGGCACCTGTTACTACTAGCGTGGCACTTGTTTCTAATAGCAAACATTGTTACTACTAGTGAGGCACCTGTTACTAGTAGTAAGGCACCTGTTACTACTAGCGTGGCACCTGTTAAGCAACACACGAAAGGAACTAGGGATGACAAGGCTGCTTGTTCAACACTTGCTGTACCACTCAAAAGGTGAGATGTTGAGGTGGGAACAGTCAAATGGACATGGCACAGGCACGGCAAAACATCATACAAAGTCTTTAGTCTAAATCCTATCAAATTGAGGACGATGTTTGGAATACATCTTCTAACAAATCTTGAGGAATGAACAACCCTGCGATCTTCTCCCCAAAAAGTGCTGAGCCGTGTCAAGAACATGAAATTACAGGGTATAATTTTCAATAGCGGGCTTACACATGATCACATGTTTGACTTGGGGCATGGCTTGAAAGGAACAAGGGCATGGCAGAAAACCGCGCAAACGTCTTTAGTCTAAATCCTCTCTACCAATTTAAGGCAGATGTTGGGAAGATATCATCCACAAATCTTGAGGAATGAACAACCCTGTTATCTTCTCCCTAAAAGACTGAACCGCAGCAAGAACATACAATGTCAAGGTAATGTCTTGCGTAGCGGGCTTTCCCACAACCAGCATCGTGTGAACACCCTCAACCTATATTGTTGTGAACAAAAGCTCAATCAAACCAATTCCATCCTTCTTTTTCACTTGGAGGAATGTTGAACTTGAGGTGGGGAGCGTTCAGAATCCATTGTCCTAAACCGAAAGGAGCGTTCACCAAAGGCATTCTAAAGATGAGTTGTGTACCTTGTTGTCTGCAACTGTTGTCAGTCCTTTTGCAATTGCCTCGCCCAAACAGCTTTGGTCTGAGTTGGAGAGGTGGCACCTTGCAGGGCACGAAGATGACAAGTTGGGTCTTTGCAAGGTCTTACTTTGGTCAGCTATAGAAGAACACAGCAGCCGCCCCTTTTTCCCACAATCTTGAGCCAAACATGTCCGGTAAAGTGAAACGTCAATGACTGGATCATGTGAAGGCTACATTCATCAAGATTCCTATGACTTGCATGTCATGTGAAACTAAATTCTTTACAGTGCTCGGTGACACATCGAATGCGAATCTTGCCTGCAGAGATGCTCTTTGGTTGTTCAAGGACTGCTTCAAGGACTGCTTCCCCTGGCGTGCCAGATGCATTGACCAGGGTGCATTGCTAGTGGATTATGGGTGGTGGTTTCACCCCATGTCTCTCTCCTCCCCCTTCACACATTAACATCTTTAGTGGAAGATGGGTGCCTCGAGAGATTTGGATCCACGACGCCCAAAAGCTCCAAGGCGTGACTCCATTTGGAAATCGGCAACGGTTTCGTGAAGGGATTAGCCTTTTGATGGTCCGTTTTTATATAAAGCAATTTGGCACTGCCATTCGAGAACGTCTCGTATAGAGAAGAGAGGTTGATTCGATGGTGCTTCGAAACATGTCGGAGTTTAGGGCTGTAGCCCTGGCCGCATATGGTTATGACGGCGCTGTTATCCTGGAAACACACCAATTCAATTTCCCTTCTGAACACTTCCTCAACGAATTCGGCAACTGGCAAAGCGTCAAATACGCCGTGGGCAAGTGATATGATCTCGGCTTCTGTGGTCGACCGTGCAGTCGCACCCTGTCTCTTACTGTGCCACGCCAGTGGCCAGTAGGACGCCGGTCCTTGCAGACACAGCAAACCACCAGAGGTGCTCTTTGCATCCTCTACCGCGCTTGAGTGGTCCGCATCGGTATACAAGACCAGTTGTAGGTCTTCCTGACGATCTGCGATTTTGCCTTTCAGGCAGAATGCCTTGGTCTCGAACAGATAGTTCATCAATCTGTGCAAGCGGCGGTCATCGGCACGACTCCACTTCGTGACACGGCGGGTGAGATCCCCTATTGCCTTTACCGTGTCTGGCCTGGCAAGTCTGCCCGCCCAAAGGACTTTCATCAAGACCTTACTAGCATCACTTGCTAGAGCACCGCGCTCCTCCCATTCATTCACTGGAATGGAACCTTCTGGCAAGTAAGGAGACGCAGCGCCTTTCAATGGCATCCCTGACAGGTTTTCATACATTTGGCATGCTGAGTTGATGAAATCTACCATGTCGAAATAAACCTCAGTCACTCCGTTTTCACGTTTGAACAAATGCTTTCTGCCAAGACAACGATCCACTGGGGTCGGTTCTTCTATTTCAAGGTGTTTTTGCAGGTTTTCCCAGAACCCTTTGTGCAAACCTGATGGCCCTGAAAGCAAGATGTCATCAACGTACAATGTGAGGACTAGACCATTTTCAAAGGTCCAATTCGACTGGTTGTCTCTGTCAGCCTTCCCTCCCATGAGTCCCATCACTTCACGGAATCTTGCGCCCCAGTGGAAACCCGATTCCGGGTGTCCGTATAGCGCCTTCTTTAGGGGCGCCACTGGCATTTTGATGTGAGCGAACTCTTTTGGCACTAACTCTGGTGGAAGTAGCACCCAAGTGTCCACCACTGTTCGCAAGACACTTTGAGTGTATGCACGCGCCACGTCCGACAGTGTACTGTCATTTCCTGGAAGTGCACCATAGCTCAAGTTGAAGTTTATGGCTGTGATTCCCGAGGGATTCACTTTGAGTTGCTGCAGGATGGCGATGGTGTTGTCTTGGTCAACTATCTGGTCCCCGCGGAACACAATTCTGGCTTTCAACTTTCGCAATTCTGGACTTTCAGCGTGCTTCATGGACAGGATTGTCATGAGACGACCTAGGTTGAATTTACCACCCGACTTCATCAGTTCTTCTTTGGAAATGATTTTACTAACATCCCAAACTTCATTTGCTAGAAGACCATCCAACTCTTTCTTGATAGCTTGATCAGCCCCCGGATATTTTCCCCAATCTCGACGGTCAATCAACTGATGAACACCGAAAGGAATCTTATGCGGAACATGTTCTGACTGAACAAACGGACAAGTCAGCATGATTGGGACGGAATCACCATCAGCATACAAGCTGTTCGAGATTGTTTGAGCCATCCTTTCAGTGTAGAAGGCTGACTTCCCTGTGCTTGAACCCTCCAAAGGACTGTGTTTGAAGTCTTTTGGGTGTTGGCATCGGTATGCACCAAGGTCTTTTGCCAACTTTCTTGATGAGGTTACGACTCTCCATGTCTTCAGATGTGGCTCTCCTTTACTGTCTTTCAAACCAAAGGCACAGCCGTCACAGCATGTCTCATACAAATCATGTTTCTTGACAAACTGCAAAAGCTCGGTCAACATCCAACCTTCGCAATGTTTGGGCCATTCGAAAGCAACATGTCCTCCGTTCTGGAGAATTCTCTCGGCAACCTTTATGTAGTTAGCTAAGAGTTTCTTGCTTGTCTTTCTCTTGGCTTTCAACTTCTTTGCGTAGGATGAACCATATCGATGTAGACACATTTTCTGCCAAGGACTCCATGAACTACATGGAATACTTCCCCAAAGGTCAGCCCCCTTGAACATGTCTACTAACGACAAGAGGCTCTTGATGTCTTCTTCATTTTCCAAGTTGGTTTGTTCTCGATGCAACCGAAAATGAGGAACCCCCCTTGATTCATTAACTTCTCCTAGTTTCGAGTCTTTGCTGCAGCAGAATTCAAACATCGCGTGACTTTTGTCAGACCTAATCCTCCTTTCACGGGGTGGTTTCAATGTCTGAACCTTTTTAACTTCTGCAGGGACCGGAGTCAAACCAAGGATCGACGTGACAGCGTCAAGCCCTCGAAGAGGTTCCTTCTCAACATTGCATGTCATGGCTATGATTCTAGCTCTTACATTCTCGGGCTTCTCCTTCGGGAAGAAGTATGTGCATCCTACCCAACTTCTTGAACAAATGCGCCTATTCGGTGACATGGATTGCCAATCATCTGCAAACAGTGAAGTCTTGTTTCTACAAGTCCAAACAGTTTGACGTTCTGTCGTCACTTCGAACGAATCGAAAGGACAGTCATTTCCAAGCGGTGTGAACAAACGCTTCCTCGGACGGACATAGATTCTCTTCCATGCAGCTTTG